TCCATCTGCGACTCGGACACGGACCCGCGCGAGCTCGAGGCGTTCGCGGAGCGCTTCAAGCAGCGGCGCATCAAGCTGGGCGTGACGCAGGCCGACGTGGGCTCGGCGCTGGCCAACCTCAAGATCCCGGGCGTGGGCTCGCTCAGCCAGAGCACCATCTGCAGGTTCGAGTCGCTCACGCTCTCGCACAACAACATGATCGCGCTCAAGCCCATCCTGCAGGCGTGGCTCGAGGAGGCCGAGGGCGCGCAGCGCGAGAAAATGAACAAGCCCGAGCTCTTCAACGGCGGCGAGAAGAAGCGCAAGCGGACTTCCATCGCCGCGCCCGAGAAGCGCTCCCTCGAGGCCTACTTCGCGGTACAGCCTCGGCCCTCGTCCGAGAAGATCGCCGCCATCGCCGAGAAACTGGACCTCAAAAAGAACGTGGTGCGGGTGTGGTTTTGCAACCAGAGACAGAAGCAGAAGCGGATGAAATTCTCCGCCACTTACTGAGGGGGGTAGGAGGTGCCGGTGGGACCGAGCGGGGAGCTGAACGGGGCACTGGAGAGGGCTCTTCCCGGGCCTGCTCCCCACCATCCCGTTTGGAGTGTCGGTTAACCTGCTTGCATTTGGAGCGTCCCTCCTCCTGCGCTCTCTTCTGCCCCCTTTCTGTTCTCCCTGCCTTCACCCTCCCCCGGCCTAGAGGACTGGGGTATTGGGTGTGGACACCGGAGAGGACGGCGGGGAGAAGAGGGAGCGTTTTGGGGAGCGGGGCGTGGGGGGAAGGAAAGCGGAGACTAGAGGGTTTTGAGAAGCAGGATGGTTCTGGGGTTAGGGTGGGGGGGGAGACTCGGGAAGGGTAGGGAAATGGACTGTTTTGGACCAGAGACACCCATCAAAATCTCCTGGGGACCAAGGAACTATGTACAAAAACAAACCTACCAACCACCAAAAACTAGGCAAATGAGAACAAACTAAAACAGAACAAAAGCAAATAAAATATGCGTTAGAAATTTAACTCCAGGGAGCCGTATTCTGCAGCTTCATTTCCCCCTAACAAAGAGAAAAAAAAGAGCACCATCATTATTTACTACTGACCCCCCCACCCCCACTCACACACACACACACACACACACACACACACACACACACACACGGAGTCAAAAACCAAACCGAAGGATGAAATTCTGGGTAGCAAAGCTAGTTGTTCTGTGTGTTTTTAATTTAAATGTTCCCTCTAAATCTCACTTCCACCCCATCCACGTCCTCTTTAATTTCTGCTTTTCAGTGAGACTCCGATGGCTGCTCTTCATTGCCAGAAAGAGAGTCGGGGGACAGTTGAGGGTGGGGGGGGGCGTGACTGCCTGTTTAGGTGGAGTCTAACTTTTCCAGTGACCTGGCCTATTCTGCTGTGGCGTGGGCCCCGTTGGGAGGGGGTGTTTAAGGAGAGGGAAGTAGTCTTTGAGCTGATTAAAAGGCAGAACTTAGGAGCTCCGACATATTTTATTCTAGGAAAATAAAAGTTTTAACAAGGTTTTTCTCTTTTCATTTTTGCTCTTATATCTGAGATCTAGAAACAGACTATTTCAAAATCAGCTCTCTCCCCCCACACACACTCATAGAACTTGCTTGCCCTTTAATTTTTGAGTGTGGTTTATTTTAAGCTACCTACTGAATTTTATTTCCTATTGATTCAAATAGACTGATGGGGTGGAAGACACTAGGAGAAATACTCTGTCTCCTTTTCTCCACAGAACAAAATCCATCTAGCTCATCTAGGTCCCCTTTCCTTCTCTCTTGGAGAACATGAAATCATTGAAATATTGAGAAGTTTCTGCTTTCAGTTGGAGCAGGACTTGGCTACGAGAAAAATCAACTAAATCCCAAATGAGAGGAAGGCAGGTTTAAAGTTCTCCATTTGTTTCAAAAGGGTCTGCATGTTTGGGGGGTAGGGGAAGCAGAACAACTGTGTTTCATTATTATTATTATTATTATTATTATTATTATTATTATTAAGTAATTTATTGATGGGGATAAATGTTGGGTAGCAAGAACTTTAATTTGCACTATCAGTCTCCCAAATAGAAAATCATGTATAGTATTTCATAGTAATAATCAAGAAACTTGATTGCTGATGGATTAAAAAATGAGAAAGACAGTTGAAGGTGGTTAGGTAAAATGCCTGCTTGGTGCACAAGATACTCTTTTGATCTCATGTGTGGGGATGGCTTATTACCATCCTTTAATAAGAACTAAAAAATTGAAAACAAAAGAAATGAGAAAAAAAAACAACCCTGCCATTTAACAAGACTGAAATCATGCATGACCTAAAAGGTACAGAAAGAAACACAATTAGGTCTCACTCTGGTTAGGCATTATTTATTTAATTATGTTGTATATCATTGTTTGCAGCGCAAACATTCTATGCATTTGAAACTGAGCACTAAACTGGGCTAGCTTACTGATAGACCGTTTTGTGGATAGAGTGATTTCACAGTCTACTGCCTGTTTTCACTGAAAACACAACATTCTTGTCATATTCTTGTATTTAGAGGAAAAGTAAAAAGGGAAGATTATTGTAAATATTTTCTTTAATACAAACACACACAGTGGTTACAAACTGCCAGTGTTAATCCTGAAATGTCTCATGGATTTATCTACCTGTCCATGTATGTTTGCTGAGCTTTCTCATTGGTTATGTCTTTGCTCTATTGCCTTTTCCCCTCCCCACTTCTATCAGAATCATTTCTGTGCGCCAAAATACAACAGGGGGATGTGTCCCGGTACACTTACAAATAAAACATAACTGAAAGAAGAGCAGTTTTATGATTTGGGTGCATTTTTGTGTCTATACTGGGCCAAGTCCTGGTAGAGCGGGTCAGCAAATGAGACTCAATTCAACCAAAAATATAGGGGAGGATGTTGAAAGGGGGATGAAAAGAGGAGAAAGGGTGAGAATGATGTATTTTTCTGCTGAATCAGAATTCACTTTCAGACAACTCATGAGGGAAGTGGTGCTCTGAATAAAATGAATTCTATATTAGTTGCCTGTGTTTATCAAAGTTGTTTTTTTTTTTTTGGTAGAAACTCTTAAACCACAGCTCTCACTTCAGAGTGGTAGAAGCTGATAACCAGGCACCCCCAAAATATTTAAATTGAGGTTCAGGGACAGAGGCATTTGGAGAGTTATAGGTGGTGTTCTAGCCTAAAAATGTTTCTTTAAAAATGTAACTAAATTACTTTTCTTTGGAGGTTAATAAATGTAAAAAAGCATCCCTTAATCTGTCTTGCCACCATGTCAAATGCCTCTGTTCATTTTGAACATTTAGTGTGCCACCTACTGCTCCAGAGGGACCAGAGATTCTTTATTTTTTGGTTATTTGGGACTAGATCAGATGCCAAATGTACAAAGTTTCTTAATTAGCTGGGATTATATCTTCTGAAGTCATCCTACTTTAGCCAAATCTTTTTAATTTCACCGGCAAATCTGTGAAACAAAACACTTGATGTTCAACAAAGAATAGTACCTTTAAAAAGCTGTGATTTTAAACAGTTGTTAATGTTTAAAAAAAAAGCACTTAGAGGTATTTTTAAAAATAGATCTCTTCCATCGAAATTGATTTTTTTCTGTTGTTACTGACTTGAAATGTCATCCAAGTTTTTAATAAAATGCATTTGTAAGAAAACCACGTTATTTTATAGAAAAATATGACCGGATTTCATTGTTGGAGAACCAGGAATGAACAGACGAAAAGATTTACAAAGGCTGCTTTTAAAAAAATCTGCCCCAAATGAAATGTTGCAGGCAAATGCATTTATGTTATATAATGATGACCAATGTATGTAATAAGTTAAAACATTTGTTTTGTATTAAGTAAAATGAAAAGACAATATTATGTTAATAAAACAGATTATGAAAATGCATGCTTTGCAGAGTTTCCTATTTTCTGTAGTAGGAAACTGTGCAAAACAAGAAAATGCTTTGCTCTCTGGTGACTGAATCTGTGTACCGCCGCAAGGAATGATAAGACTACTCTAGGACACCTTTAACTGTCGATTCGTGAAGAAACCACCAACTAAGCAAACAAATGTCCTCCTGGAAAGAATGCAAAGGCTTGTCACTCAGCAATAGTTGGCCTTTTAAAGTTTTCTGGTTCCGAAAAGCAGAATTTCACTCTAAGCGGATTCATGGCACCAGTCAATGGGTGGAAATAGTAAGATGTGTGGCTCCGGTTCTCTTAAAGAATATCTCAAAATAAGTTGGAGAGAGAGTGTGGGGGGTGGGGAGGGGGAATTGTTCTCCGTTTGCATTTCAGCTTCTCGGGGAATCCTGGCGGTGGTGGAGTAGGAAAGGCAAAAGAAAAATAAGCATGAAATGCACCTGCCACGTTTGTGTCATCCATTCGTTTTAAATTTTCTTTTTTCCACAGTCCTAGCTCCGAGTCCTGCTCCTTCGGTAGGTCTAAGAAATGATGTCCTCAAGACACATCAACTAGCTTCTGAATAGATTTTTGTTTAATGCGTGTCCTGAAATTGCTCGAAATTTCGACTGCACCCTCATAAATAAACTGTAGGCGCCCACTGCCGTGATTGTATCGATTTTTGCTTTCTTGTGAAGAACTACTTCGGTCCCATTCCTACAGGTGGCCTGGCCCCAGGACTCACCTGGCCAGCTCCCGCCTTGTCCCCAGGCCCTGTCGCCCCGGCCTTTCCTGCCAACCCTGAGTGAAGCATCCCTGCTCCACCGTTCACGGGGATGGGCTTTCAGAGACTGTGAAGTTGTAATTGGGACTTCTGACCCTATCTAAAAATAGCGTTCCCCACCCCATTCAAACGACCTTGGTGGCCAGCGGGATGATAAAGGTTATGACAACAATGATCTGGTATGGTTCTAGTTATCGGTGTTATTGCCGCCGCAGTCTTACCCCACAGCCCTCGCGGGCGGTTTCAAAAGAGACCGCAAGCTTAACTGATTTTCAAAAAATAGCAGCCGAATTCTAATTCTCACGGGGGTGGGGGGCTCTCTTCCACCTGCGAGATAAGCCTTGTCGCAATAATTACGTTACTTAATATATGGTCAAACCTTCGTGCCGCCGCGGCCGGCAGCACCCGGCGGGCTCACGGCCTCCGGGGTAGCGGGCGATCCGCGCGGCCCGAGCCGGACCGGGAACGTGCGGCGGGGTCGCGCGGTCGCCCGGCTCGGGTTAGCTTGCCGTGTGAATAATGCATGGCCTGAGAGTTCTGGAAATTAGCAAAATGAATGCTAACAAGAAGCTAATTTAAAACTTTCCTAATTGTTTCCAAGTCGGCTTGATGGGGGACAGGCCGCCCTTCCTTCCCTCCTCCCCCCCTTCGGAATCTTTTGGACCGACAGGGCTGAGCGCAGGCCCGGACGAGCCTCGAAACTCCAGCGGCCGAGCGCTCCTCGGACTCCGGAGACGATTTCGGAGGCGGCCCCGAGCGGCTGCTGCCTGCCCTCCAGCCGCCGCCGCCGCCGGCAGCTTGCCCGGACTCCTCAGCGTAACTTTGGACTTCGGGGCGGGTGGGCTGGCGGGCGCCATCTCAACCCACGGGCAGAGCTGATTGGGTCAGAATCTGCAGCCAGGAAGGGATCCGCCCTCCCTCGACCCGGGCAGGGTGCTCGCTCTGCGGTGGAAACATCCACCCACCCCGGGCCCTCCGCGCGGGGAATCCCAGCGGCCCCCAGAGTGCGAGCCGCGGCCAAGTGACCGCGTTGCGTCGGGTTTGCGCCCCTGCGCCACCCGCCGGGAGACTCGCGGCCCGGCGGCTTCTGGTTGCCGGAGGCCGCAGTTCTTCGTGGCTGGCGAGGAAGCCTCCGGCCTGCTGCCCCGGCCGAGACGTGGCCTGGCCGCGGATGACTCGAGCCGGACAACGGCCCGAGACCCGGCGCCGGCGCGCGTGCGCAGGTGTGGCCGGCGGGAAGCGGACCGCGGGGAACGCGGGCGGACGCAGCGCGCACCGAGCGCGGGGAGCGCGCAGAACCTGCACATGCGCGTTACGTGCGCCGAGGCCCCCTTAGAGGCCGCCTGGGTTCCGCAGCTGGTAGTTACGCGCTCCCGGAGGTCATCTCCCACCCGTTAAGTGCCTTTAAGTGTGTCCTGAGAGTAAAGAAAAGGGAGCGGTATCTTACAGAGGTTAAAAATGCTCCCCTCTCCACTGTGGGCCCAAGTGAACGGACGCCTTCAACACCGCAGAACTTTCAAAACTGGTTTACATTTTTTTGGGGAAAAAGAATTGGGAGCAAAAGGACGTTGGCTTTTGTTTTGTTGTTAGGTGCACACCACTAAAGCCCTGCTACGGATTTGAATTTATTAGGCAAGGATTTATGCCCGGGGCGGGAGGAACGCTGGCCGCTGGCCGCTGGGCCTTCGTCCCGCAAAATTCGGTGGAATACTAGATCGCAAAAAGGAGGGCGCAACTCTCTGTCGGATAGAAGCTGGCAAAGCACGAGTAGTGAGAGCAGCGTCCTGCTCCTGCAAACCCAGCGATGGGGCGAAAAGCGCCCGCGTCCCATCCCCTGCCCCAAGCCCGAAGGCCCCGGAGGACGCTTCTCTGTAGCAAAGGAAGAGGGTAGTAATAGAAGGGAAGCTGAAGGTGCTAAAAGACACACTGGAAAGAGAAGTGGCAGAAGGAGGGGGTGGAGGGAGGAAAAGAGACAGACTCCTTGCATTGATTAGGTAAAACGAATTACATACAAAAGTTAGGTAACTGACTCCTGGCTTCCGTGCAGCATAACGTATACAAACTTTTGTAGGCACGGATCAGAATAAAACAAAATGTTGACAATTTCCAGCCGTGGAAATTCACTTACACCAGTCTTTCCCCCACCCTCTCCGCCCCCGCCAAGTGTTGACAATAAACATTTAATGAAGGCAGGGACCTGGCTGTCTCCAGTCAGTGTCAGAATACTTTAAGCAGACCATTAGCACGGCTTCTTTCACTTCAAACATCGCGCGCTACGCTCTAACATTATATAAAATGTACAAAGTGTGAGACAAATAATCTGTTTATATAGATATCTTAAGTGGTCTGCAGTAGTTTTGATACCCCCTGTACTTAATAACAGAAACACACTCATTGTAGATTACTCGCGCTTAAAAAATGTTAAATACAGTTAATGCAATATTAATCGCCCTTTGGTGATATAAAATGCAATATTTTCAGGCAGCTATCGAGCTTTTCTGAAGGAGGGCTGATGAAAAGAGTCACAGCTGAATAGTGGAGAGGAAAAGCCCGGTATTTATTGCTTTTGTTTGGCTTTTGGCTACAGAGACAGGAACCTTCTAATGGGGTAAGGACATTTATTTTATCTGCAATCTATTGCTGCGAGAGCAGGGGCGGCAGATGGGGCTGGTGCGATATTCACAGTGTAATTTAGAGCAAATCCTAATAACTAATAATGATTTATGTTAATTTTGACCACTTATGCGACTTTACCAAAGCGTTGTGATGAAAGAGAAGCAGAATGTGACAAGGAGCTCTGAAACTGAGATTGGAGCTCGACTATCCTGTTCAAAATGTGTTTTATGAGTTAGCGATGGAAATACAGGCATTTTTAAAAAGCAGGTAGGATCCATTTGACGCTGGGCAGAGGTATCTCCCCCGGGTTTGCATTTGTTATGAAAATATACCTACATGAGAGGAACCGTGAAGCCTTTGAGAGGGAGACTCTTTTATCCCAGTTTTAAAGAAAAGACTTATTTCAATGATTTAATTTGCAAGGGTGTGTGT